CATCTGCATTGGTTGAAGTCGCGATAATGCGGCACAATCATCCAATCCGCGCCACATATTTCTCCGAGGACGCTACACAGATCACAACTTTGACGTCGGGCGGGGAGATACACCTTTGGGATGTTCATGGCGGGAATCTCTTGCCCCAGCCTACGATCACTGAGTGGCCGCGTGGCAAAACAGTGGGGTTGAAGTCTGCGGGCCGCTTTTCGCGCTGTGGTGCCGTGGTTGCCTGTGGGTGCGGCGATCGTGTGCTACGGATCTGGGATTCTCGAACTGGGGTATTGATAACGGAGATTGAAAGCGGCCCGGTCGACTGCCTCGACTTTTCTCCAGACGCCACGCAAATCGCAACGGGGTGGGGAGGAAGTTGTCACGTCTCCATCTGGGACACGCGTACGGGCCGTCTCCTTCGTGAATCGAACATCCAGCGAGCGATCTCTGCGGTGCAGTTCTCGCCGGATGGGCTTTGTCTCGCGGTGGGGTCCCCGAGCTACAAAGTTCTCGTGCTGGAAACCGAGACCATGCACCTTCTTTCTGGTGTGTTGAACGGACATACTGCCTCTGTGTGCTGTCTGCGGTGGTTTCCGGATGGAACTCAGGTTGCTTCCGGTTCTTGGGACAAAACCATTCGCTTTTGGGATGTCCGGCCCTCATTTGAGGTGCGCCCAGTTCCTAATCTGTCTTTGTCTCTCACATATCAACTTGAACTACAGAGCAACACAGCACTCCAAGCACATTTAGGAGACTCTCCGATATTCAAGTTAACCGGGGACATGCACGGCTGGGTCCTAAATGGGGCATCCCAACGAATGTTTTGGGTCCCTCCTTGGCTTCGCGAGGGTTTATATTTCTCACGAAGCTCGCTGGTGATTCGCGATCGGGGCACAACCAAGCTGGATCTTAGTCAATTCGTTCACGGTGTGGAGTGGGTGGCATGCTTTCAGGGAGTTGAATGAATATTAGTTTGCTTTGAAGATATTTGGGTTCGACAAGTTACGGAATCAGACTACCTACACTGGTTCCAACACCACATTGGACACTTTCCGTGACGGCAGCCATATATTGTGGGTTCAATCAGGTTCAATGCCGACGCGATGGAAAAGCAGAATTCTGAGTTGCAACAAAGCCAGCCGGGAGCTCAAGCAACCAATTGATTCGGAGCCTGCACGAATAAAGCGGAAGGAGCAAGTACCAAAACTTCGATTCAGAAAGCTAGGCTTGTTCGAGGCCAGCCGAAAGGGCGCGGAAAAGTTCCGAGGGAGCACAAGAAGAGGGAAGCAAGTTTCCAGGCAGTGTTTAACGGATCGCGGAACTGGTCTTCAAGTTAAACTGATGTCCTGGCAAGCGTATCAAACTTTAACCGCAGTGTGTTCCGTATGCTCCATCCCCCTACTGGCCATCCACGTCTCAGGTCCCCTCCGATTCGCAATCCGTTGATTCTTAATCCGCCGAGTGAACCAATCGAGGGAGGTTGCGCCCGTATCATAGTTCTCGCGATCCGCCTCTGGTGTAGCGGCGACTGCTGCTGCGATGACCGCACTTTCGTCCCTGAGTGCTCGGAGAACGACAGAGTTGCCGGGGCGCGTGAAGTATACAAGGGAAAATCGATGGAGGAGACCTTGAGCGCCTGGTGGATTTCTAGTTGATTTATTCACAAGTCAGTAATAGTTCGGTACGAAGAGAGAGGAGTCGTACGCGACGCGGTGGATGTTGGAACGTAGAATCCCTCCGCTTAAGATTGACATGGCATCACCGAGGTTACAGATGCAATGCCCAGGGATCGGCTAAGTCTCCAGTGAGTGTGCAATAAATTGTCAACGTTGTGGGAGAATAGACACCTTGACGTATTGCCACGAGTCGGAGCCCGGGGGAAAGACCTGCAAGCCACCAAGACGGTTATGCAACAGGGTCTAATACAATATGAAAGATTCGTCAACATCTGCCCTCGTCATCAAAGATATAAACTCACCAAAGACCCAAAATCCGTATGTGCCCCAATGGCCTGCCTCTCCGGATTTGGCGGGCTGTAGGTACACCTCGTCTCACTCCCACTCCACTCCCATCTCGCATGCCTCGTCATTAGCGCCCCCAAAGACAACCCCAGTCGCTCCTCAAACAGCCCCAACAATAAATCAGTCACCCTGATAGATTTTTCGACAAACGGCTGGATGGTATGGTCCATCCGAGCGTTCACGGTGTGGGGGTAGGCGCGTCTCGCTTGAGCGGGCCAGGCAAGCGCGTCGTCCTTGGCGATGTTGATGAATTGGACAGTGTCCAAAACGCCCGAGGCGTCGACTGCATTGGCGCCGGCGGCTTTGTAGCTGATGTTGTAATTGGCGTGAGTGAGGCGAGAGTAAGCAGACCAACTGGAACGTAGACCCACCCGAACGAGACCCCGTCATCCCCCTGCTCGTACTTCATCTTCTTCTCCATCGGCAATGCCATCGTCTCACTTGCCATATCAAACATCCCGTTGACCTCCTCATCAATCCCGTGGTTCTTCAAGCTGGAGGAGAACGCGATCGTCAGTACCAGTCCAAGATGGTAGTGAATGTAGAGATGCACGCACTACCAAAATCCAAGTGTCGTCGCAGCCTCCCAGAGCCTGTCAATCTCGGCCTTCTCGCGCGCCTTGAGCAGCTCGTAGTCGATGACAAGAAGTGGATGCGTCGGGATGTCGTCTGGGAAAGGCGGGACTGGGATCGAAGTCATTGTGTGTCTGCACGGAGATGCTATGGGGATGGAGTGGAGTGAAAGACGCACCAGGTATATATACCGACCCCATGATGCGTGGGATTAGTGCGACGTCAGCGAGATGAGAGCCCAGTTGCGTTCGAGGCGGACTGCAGCGACTGCGTCGGACAGCGCGGAAGCGTGTTCTAGGGAAAGGTTGAATGTAACTGGTGGGTTCAGAGCGGGCATGCTTCAACCTTGAGCAGATCGTCTACTTTAACCCGGTGGGAGAGAGAAAGCCCGCGATCAGATGGGCGGGGACGAAGCCGTCTATATCCCTCTTTTGAAAACATCCCAATCGTGGGTGACCCAATCGTCCACGATCTGAACATCCGAGTGCTTGTTCATCTCAGCCTCATTCGTCTTGTTCTCGTCATCGTCCGCCAGAAAGAGCGATGTGATTCCGCTGACGATGACATGCGGATGAAGTCAAGATGAAGTCCCAGATACGGCACGTCGAATGCGATGACGCTTAGAGTGCACAGTGATACGGTGGGAGTACGCGAGTTGGATGAGTGCATCGCGGCGTCAGCGGCGAGAATAGTGTGCGAGGAGGATCATGGGCCCGCGGGCTGCGTTGGGAGCCTGTACTGATTCCGAGTTGTCACGTCCTGAGCGCGGGAGATGATTGGGGGACGTACCATGAGAGGAGCTCTGCGTTGCTTGCGCGATGGGCTTCCGGCTCTTGTAGGTAGCGTAAAGACTGGATTTTAGCTTCAGATGGCCGGATTATTAGTACGCACTTGGGTATGCATTTGGGACACACCTGGTATCGTTGGCTGAAAACGATATGAGAACGCTACGAGGGACGGAAATCTTGGCAGGATCAAGACCAGATAGACGTTGTGAAGACGAGATGGACGATAATCTCTTTGGATCGTTAGGAAAGACGAATCGGGTGAGATAGGAGTAACGAGGCCGTCGAGGAGTCGTTGTGGTGGCGGGAGCCAAGTGATTGCGCACGGACCACTGAAGACACAGCCCCTGATGGCACGGCTCTCACTCGCACCACGATGACCGTCTCACAGCGGCCTGACATGGCCTCAAATCCTCCTTCTTCCGACACACCCGGCTTGTCTTCCCCGAATTCCGTCTGGCGGGAACACAATACTCTTCTTAGATGCTATATTCTGTCGTCTCGGGACTAGGAACCACCCTTGGCTTTTCCACCACCATTGCTCTTTCTCTCGTCATCTGCCGCCGATAAACAGAACAAACACCGACCACCTCGCGGCTGGCTCATCTTTTGCCCGGGCTTCCCGACTTCATGTTGCGACTTCCACCTGGCTCGGCGATATTTGGAGACTGGGCTCCGAGTCTCGACTCCTAAACCCTGGGGTCTCGTTGAGCGCTCCTCCATTCACTGTATGTGGGGACAGAGTAAGTATGCACACAACACAAGTACCGGCCACTGTCACACCATTGAATTCAATTCGTACACCATCATCAAACTCAAGAAATGCTTCATCGGCTTTTGTGCAATCCACGCCGCCAACACATCCTCCATCTTCGACAACAGGACGCCTCACCCCACTCCCAAATCAGCGAACTATCTTGTTTAGCCCAGGAGGCACATGGACCAGGAGGAACACGGAAGAGAGGCCGAGTAGACGCAGAAAGGTGAACATTGTGAATCACTGCGTTCCGAGCCCTCGTGGACACAGATTGTGTCTACCAGGGTAGACACAGGGGTCTGATGGGCTGTGGCTACCCCAGTGTAGACACCAGTGGAAGGGGGGTAGACAGAGCTAGCGAGACGGAGACGGAGGGTGGACAGAGCCTTCAAAAGTGAGCTACAATCAGCGAGCCAGAGGTTTGTCGGGGTCTGTCCACGTGGGTCTGTCTACGGGGCTAGACAGATGTCAATCGGTGATGGACCCAGCGGGAAGGGCCTGGACACCGTAGGGTAGTAGACATGGGATACAATCAGCGAGCCACAGGTCTGTCCACGGGGATGCGGAACGCAGTGAATGCCACTCACACGGTGACTCAGCATTCGATACACTCGCGGTCGCTCCTATACGCAAACTATTTATACCCTGCGCGTAGGGGTTAGGTTAGTAACAACTACTTGTTCGTCAGTTGATATAGTCTGGTCCCGAGACTACCCTGCGCGGTCATCAGAAGATTCCAGATCGACTTTGACCTTCACTATATCTTCTTGCTGTGATTCGCCCTTCATCGAACGACGATACCAATGCACTCCCATTCTTGCCTGACCCCAGACTAGGTGGCCAGCTCAATCGCTGGCGATCCACGCACCCGACCCAATGGTCTAGAGGTATGATACACGCTTCGGGCTTCCCGGACCTCTGCGGTCTTGTATGTGTGTGGCCCCGCGTTCGAATCGCGGTTGGGTCCTTTTTCCTGCGGTAGAGACCGATTGACGCGTTGACGTTGACGTTGACGTTGACTAGCCCACAACTTGTGAACGTTTCGTCCAAAATACGGTACCGAATCCACTCCCCGGTCTGGTCAAACACACCTGAACGGCATCTTCTCATTTCTGTCTTGGTAGGTCTTCTCTTATTACTAAGTTCAAGCAAGTCGTGCATTCCCCGGGAATGTGACCTCTAGCAGCCAGCCCCTATCGACCCGACCCAATGGTCTAGAGGTATGATACACCCTTAGGGCGTCTCGTATTTTGGGTGTGGCCCCGCGTTCGAATCGCGGTTGGGTCCCTTTTTGCCTACCCTGTATCAGGCCAACTCCCCCGTCGTCACCCTTCCTGCAGCAATAAACCTACGACTACCAGTGGTACTCCCAGAGGACAAATCCCCACATGATATGCCACTGACAATTTGAATTCGGGCACCTGGCTGTCCATTCCCCTCGCAAATCACGGACTTGCGAAGCTCGGGCGGCCAGTGCTTGATGAACTGTACAAGTATCATGCATTCATGTCGCTTGGCTGATCGGCGTTACTCGTTCGCCGTGGAGACTGACAATCGAACAGGGTAACGAAGCCGAGTGCTCCGTGAAACCACGTTTCGATGGGCGCTGTGAGCGCTATGTGGCTCGCATAAATATCCCTTCCAGGCATTCGACTCGGCATTCTCTTCTCTCCCCTTTCATTTTCTTTATTCTCCCCCCTTTTTCTTCTTCACCATGTACTTCGCTGCGTTGACCGCAATCTCCTCCATCCTCGCACTCTCTGTTATGAAAGCGCACACTGCACCCGTGGTAATTCGGACTCTCGCCTCACCCACTGTGGCTCATGACGGTCTCACAGAATGTCCGTGCCCTAAACAACGCTATACCCCAATTCTGCACCGCCGTCAACGGGACCGGGAACTGTACTCCACTCGATGGGGAGGAGTGTACCAACACCCCGGGGATGGCCTCTCTTATCCTCAACCCAGATAACGACTGTGCAGCCTTTCCGTGCGTTCCCATATTTCAGCAAAATATCATATCAATCATCCCTTCGCATTCAGATTACCCGACTGCGCCATTGGAACCGGCGCGTTCGAAATGACTGCGGACATTTCGTTCGACTTGACAAGTCAAGGATTCCAGAGTGTTCAGTGTTTCACCAGGGAGGGAACGATCGACGGTATCACGGAGGGCTCGCCCGAGGACATTGCTAACGAGGCTTTTGACGCGAGTAAGGGGATCAACGACCAGATTCCGTCGTGAACAAAGCATGAGGACTCGGAGGAGAGTGCTGGCACCTGCGTATTTGTTTTCACATAATAAAACATTTTGATTTCTTCGGAGTTGTACGACAATCTTTCGAAAAAAAAAATCGCTCAGTATCACATTGCTTGCCCGAGGTTGGGCTCCACACTCGTAATCAACGCCTCCGCAACCACCTGCCTACGACCCCCTCCGCCATCCGCTCCTACGACCGCATCCGAGTCTCCCACCCACTCGACACGAAGCAGCGAAGCAATTGTAGCGATCACCGGCTGGCCATCCGAAACCTGTACGGCACTGAGAATGTGTGTCGCCGCGAGGCCGCCAGTCTGATTGGACTGATCTATGGGTGTTGCGAGAACAAATATCTCGTTGATAAGTTGCCGCTGGGAGAGCTCTGCGCGGAGACCTTGGACAACGGCGCCAAAGTCGGATCGAGTGAGCTGGGAGCTCGTGGTGACGTCGCTGCCAGAAATGAGACTCGGAATTGAAATCCGACTGGTACTAGGTGTCGCACCTGGCTTGAAGCTGGGGAGAGTAGAAATTGTCGAGGGCGGCCTCGAACGTGGTGTCATTTGTCGAGGTAAGTTGAGCGAATACGTCGTGGATGAATTCGGGGAGAGAAGAGAGTTCGAGCGCTCGGCGATCGCTCGGGGGAGTCGATGCAGCGGCCACACTGCAAAGTAACATAGGCCAGATGCAGTGAATGTCAAATCGTACCATTGCTCCAATGGGGGGAGCTGAGTAGTCTGTCGAGCTGAATTTTCCGTCTTTTAAATAACACAGCAGGTAGTGGACTCGGGCTGCATGCGGGCAGTGAGTAATCGACTGGCGCGTCGCGGAGTTCCGAGTACTCGAGTCTCTCGGGCGACCTGATTTCTCGGCGGTCGATATATCAGCCCGACAGAGGAAAGGGAAAGGACGCTGACGTTTGGAAATGATGCAGTGGAAGCGACACTTCCACTACTTTGGTCATGCCCCGAAGTAAGGCCCTGATCGGGTGCGCCGCCTAGCTAGGCAGCCGTCTGCTCTGCCTATAATGTCACATCAGTCACTCGCTCCGGCCATGTGAAACGATCATGGCAATCACATATCAATGTTCTCAACTTTTCTTACATCACGGCTGCTCATCGTCTCTGACGGCGCCAGCAGTATATCATCGTTGGAAAGGCCCCGACTCGGGGCGCACTTTGCTGAATGCAATACTAGACTAGATAATAAGACAGTTTACCTGAAGGCTGCATCGAAATGTAATGCTTAGACTAGGTTTGCAAGACATGCAGGGTAAGCGCAGGTAGCGCGGGAGTGGGGCGGGCGGGTGGGCGGGACACGTAGCATCAAATACTGCATGGATACGAACATGAAATCAATGATGCATGGTCTAGACCTAAGTGACAGGGCCGAATCACGCTGAAACTGAAGCGGAGCAGCGGCTAAGCAGCTGCCTTTGATTTGGCGTGAACTGCCTAGCTAGGCGGCGCACCCGATCAGGGCCTAAACTGGGCCTTGATAGGTGAGAGAGCCCGAGGCGACGGGTCGCCCTTCCAAAGACGTCAGAGACTCAGAGGAACGCAGGGAGATTCACCACGGGATATGATGCGTAGAGGAAAGATTGACTCTGGCCACGAACTAGGTCGTCTTCAAGCCGTTAGTCCGATTCGACAAGAGCGGCATCGTAGCATAGCAGGAGTGAGCAAAGGGACGGAGGGAGTGAGCCACGAACGAGCTTATTAGATGGAAGATGTCAAGCTGGCTGGCCGAATGAGGGCCGAGTCGGACTTGTCGGAGATGGCGATGACTGGAAATCAAAGACTCCTGAGACGCTTGGCAGGGTGTTGCAGAATATAGCGTGTAGAGCATGTGCGAAAGAGGAGATCCGAGACCTATACAGTTGTGTGAGGTCGACGAGAATGCGAAATCGACTAGGACTCGAGAAGGAGGCACGTCGGAGGCGACGACAGCGAGATTCTTGGATTTCAAGAGTCCGGACGACCCTGCAAGTAGACTGCCCAGAGTACCCAGCGTGTTACCTTTTGATCTGAGGCTGAGACCGATCTCCTGCACGAGCACATGGTGGTCGGCATCAGGCCAGCATGGCGGGGCTGTGCATCAGTGATCCCGGGCCTGATCATGACTGATTTACGCGGACGCGTCGGTGTAAATAAATGAATACACGGCACCAAAAACTTTCGCGTTGGGTTTCATGCATTCAATCAGCGGCCTTCAGGTTGAGAGTAATCGAACGCGTTGGAATCGCGACGCTTTGACTAAGGATGGCGAAGGCGTGCAACGACTGTAGTCGAGAAGTTCTTCGGTCACGGCTCCACAGACTCCCGCTCCAAAGGCCCTTCCTCGTTCCAGGCTCCCTGCGAATCTATATTTCTCCTCGGCGGGACAACCTCGTTTCAACCTTTAGGCTAGTATAGAACAAGACCCACGGCCAGTGGCCACCGCCCCCGCCGAGTTGCACTCACTCTACTTGGAAACGACCGGTCACGAACATAATCAGATTACAGAAGCCGTAGATGACGCATCTTTCACCGCCACTAGGTACGCGAACGAGCACAATCGAATGCCGATGCCTACCCAGTCAAAATTGATCGACGAGCTTGAACCTGGTTGAAATTCTTATCCAGCTCCGATTCCGAAGCCAGATACGAATCATACGATATGCATCTCTAGTACCTCGATTTGGAATGCTCCCTATTCGCGCATTTGGGATGGATCGATGAGAGGAAATTAGGCGGGTCGTTGGGAGGGTCGGGGTAGGGCGGGGTCAGGGTCAGAGAACGAGTGAGTGTTCACGTTATTTTTGTGCTGAATGGAGACCGGGTTATGGCGGTGTGATACGAACTAATAGTAATACGACTATCTCGTGTGGGTTAGCTTGAACGGGTTCATCCTTGGTGACCGTCCCTCGCAATTTAACCTTGTATGCTCAGTGCGGCTCGCCCGGCGAAAAGTGGCCACAAATGTGCGTCAAAACAAAACACGAGTCGATCGGTGATTGGAATTTTTCCCATGGCCACAATGGAATTAGCATACACCGGGAGGTCATGGGGCCCGCCAGTCGCCGTGTCGAGCAATGCGGGATAAAAGCGGATGAAAGCAACGCCGCGTGTGATGTGATTTGGGGTGGAACAAGAACAAAAACGCTTCTTCGTCCCCGTAAAACATAATAGGCGGCTGCGGCCGCCCAACGCCTTGTTCACTCTTTGTCTTGCCTTCGACGGTAAATGCGCCGGATATGGCTGCCATATTGATTCCAGATGATTACTCGCATTGACATTCCTCCTTGCAAAAAGTGCTCAGTCTCCTTCGATTCGAGGTGCTCATTCTCACTTTCCGCCACCCTCACCCCACTCGTGTTCGGCAAAGAGCTCCGAGTGGGACCTTCCCGCACTGCCCGCAACCAGTTCACCGGTGTTTATTAGTCTAAGTATGCAGTACTACAGCCCACACCAACGGACCCGGTCGTCATCAAGAACTCAATTGACCATGATGTAAATTTGAGCAGGCCTAGACCCCGGTCCACGTTTCAAATCGGCGTGTTCTTCTCATACTCTTGTTCTCGGCTCATTGTACTCGCAATTGTTTCGGATTTTCGGAAGATCGCGAGGAGTGGTCTTCTCGGACAGTCTCATTCTCCGACAAGAAGGGTGCCTTCTAGGCGTTGACAGCGTTCCGGAAGTTCTACTTGCACGAGTCATCATTCCAACATC